TAAGCATAGCTTGTGCTATTAAATGACGTTCAATTGTATACACACCCACACCCACACCCACACCCACACCCACACCCACACCCACACCCACACCCACCCACACCCTTTAAAGAATCTTTTGACTTTCGTTGACCTCTTGAGTTTTTCACACAAATTCTCACTGAGCTTTTGTCTTGCAGAAAATCAAATTGGTGATAATGGATCACAAAATTTTGCAGATGTATTAAAAACGATTAAATTAAACAAATTTTCCAGTTGATTTCTTTATTCTACTTAAGATTAAGCAGAAGTAATAAGTTTTGAAAGATAAAATCAACATAGAAAAATGTAAAACCACCGTTTTCTTTTTCGATCTGAAGTTCGAAATAGTCATGAGTCTTATTTACAAAGACTTTTATCCATTCGAATATGTTTTATTTGATAAAATCAGAATTTCGGTTAAAATGTTGAAATTATTTTGAGTTATTTAAATCGATTAAAATTTTTATTAAATAAAATTGAATAAATCATGATCATTTCTTAACATAATTTTCATATTTTATAAACATGAAATTTATAATTCAATGATTCAAATGAATATTTTTCATTTCTAATTTTTTTCGAAACAGATTTTAAATTTTTATTTCAATTCGACATGATGAATTAAAAGATGTGAAAACAAAGTTTTAGGAACGAAATATTTGCTTCAATCAGAATAAATTAAAATTCTTTAGTTATAATCTAATTAATGTTTTATAACTTTCAACCAATATGTTTATGAAAAAATTATAATTCATTTTTCATATTGATCATTGAATAAAATTCATTATGAATCGATCTGAATTGAAATCTAAGTGCAATACGAACTTTTATTTACAATCGAAAAATTTTAAACTATTAGTGAAATATTTCACAAGTAACATTCATCGCATAGTGATTCAATGAACTATACATTGAAGAAATACACATGACACATTTTATTCTTGACATGAAATGAGTAATGCGCTGGATAAATTCAAGGGATGCGTTGATATTTAACTATAAATCATTCAACAAAGTCATTTTTTGTAATAGAGAGCCAAATTGTTGTGTTGATATAAAAGAGATGGTCTTCCATTTTATTCTCTAAACATTCTTTTTAATTTCAAATGACAACAAAGTACAATTAAGGAATATTTATTTGTCATATATTAATTCCAATGATTTTATGAACACGGTTTCAATGTTATTAATGAAAACCTAAAAATTAAAAATCTTTCTTTTTTTCATCATCTACATAATTCTGTCTTCTTCATGTTTGCTTTGAAATCTATGTTATATAAATGTTTGTTGATAAAGATAATATAGAAGTGCATATAATTAGTTACAGCTACTTAGAATAGTTTCATTTCTATTGAAGAGATTATCATAGTCATAATATTTGAGAAATAAGATCCTCTTGTTTTATTCTGGTTTCATGTTAAGATTCATTCTCTCATTTTCAATAATTCTTACATCAATTGTTTCGAGTTTCATTCAAATCATTTTGCGAGAAACTTGAACAATTTTCGCAAGAGATTTTTATCAAATGTGAAAGAATTTAGAACCATATGCAAACAGAACTGGTTGTCTCCTGTAATTAAAGATTTCTACTGTTACGAATTTAAGATTGAAATAAAAACAGAAAAGTTTTAATCTCGAAAACTAAATAATGACGATCATTCGTGTTAATATGAATTTTATGAATATTTCGAAAAATGAAATGTTATCACATTTGAAATTCCTTATCGAATCTCATTTCATTTTATACGAGTAAGAATAAGTCGAATATCAAGTCTAAGTTCAACTAAAAAAAAATTCGATCAATTTTTCTGTAGCATCTCTTTCATAAATATTTCTTAAAACAAAGAAGTTTCTCAGATGAAATTCTTGTTTCAGTATTAAATCATTGAATATCGGTAGTACATTGACCTTCTCATAGGAATTAATAAATTATGTTTACGAATGATTCTTTCAATAAATTTCTCAGAATTTATTCTTACAAATATTTTCTCATCTATTCAACATATCTCATTTCATCTGCATTCTACTTCGTTAGAAATATTTTTGTTGCTAAACAAACCTCTCATTTGGTTCGATTCATTTTTAGATTAAAGTTATTTTCTCGAAAAAAGAAAATCTTTTGAAATCAATGAAATTCTGAACAAAATTAATCTTCGGTGAACTATGAACGATTCGTTTTGCATATTTTATTAAGAAAGATTTTAAAATCTTTAACTTGTTTTGACGAAGATATGAAACGGGGAAAATTTTTAAGATTTCTTGAAAATTATATAACACCCGTGTAAAATTTACCCAAGCTCTTCAAATACAGGAGTTGAGATCCCTTAGCTCACGAAACCCATGTTTCAAAAATTTCACCGTGGTGTTCCTGAGAAGCTTTGAATCTCTCCCGTTTACGCCGCTACTGTTCAACAGTCATTTAACTTTGATTACTATTTTTATATCTTCGCCTTTTCTTTTAAAAGCTTTTATGATCAATTAAGTGAAGAATAAGTATCAATGAAATTCTAATGTGTGTAAAGGAAATTTTTCAATAGATTCATTCTAATCTAATGGAATGAAAATAAAAGAGTAGTTCAATTCATGAACAAAAATATAAATGAGATTTTTTTATAGAAACTTGATCTATAAATATTAATAATTGTTTCTCTTCCGTTTGACGCATTCTTCGATTTTTTCACAAAAAACATTCATATATACATATTTAAATGTTGCAAGTCTCTTCTATTTTGAATTTGAATCTGACTAAATCCATTAATCTACTCCTGAAAAAGATTTAAATCGTTTCATATTAACATTTTCATCTATCTATGTGCGAAAGAGAAAACAAGAACTCATTAAACAAGTTCTTTTCTTATTCGTAATGTTTCGTTTTATCCAATAGTGTTTTGTAATCTATCTTCATATTCGATTCAAATCCTTGTTAACATTATATCATCTTCCGAAATTTTTTTTCGTCAAAGTATTTCTACGAACAAAGAGATTTCATTCGACAAATTTAAAAATAATTAATGATCGATAAGGGTCTCGGTCAATATTCAATTGAACATTTTTCATCGTATTTTTCTATTGATAAGCATTCCAATTTGTGATCTATGAGATAAGAAGAGCGTTGAAAGATCATTTTGATTAATTTTTTATTCATATTTAAATATTTTCAGATCCTCACCGAACTTTCTCTTTCTGGAAATCAAATCACTGATACTGGAGCCAAAAGCCTTGCAAATGCATTAAAAGATAACAATGTAAAAAATTTTTTGCAGTTGAAATGTCTAAGTCGATGCTAATTTTATAAAAATTATTCACGGTCGGTAATCAAATCTGCGACTCTGCTGCGAAGAATTCAATCAATATTTCAAAATTGAGAAGATTTTTCGACTCTTTTTACAGTCTGATTTCATTATCAATTCTATTCAACCAAATTCAGACAGACAATCGAAAAAAAGAGATTTAATCATTGTAATAAGTTTCTCGAAAAGGCTTTCAAAAAAATGGACGCGTGGGTTTCCATCGTTTAAATCGGCGAAATGAAAATCTCTGCAATTGTTAAAGCCCATGTTTTGATTGTGAGATCTTATTTTGTTTTAATGATTTGGATTCTTCTATTTACTCAAACCGACAATGACATGAAGTTTTCTTTTCATTTTATAATAATCATGATACTGTTTTGATATTCTAACAGAAATCGTTTCTCGTTCAAGATTTTTTCATTTCATTTTACACATGACGTTGTCAAGAGAATTTATTTTAGGAAAGAATTCTCATAGTGTTTCAGTGCGGTTTTGAACTTTAGCAAAGAGCAAAACGTGAGTTTTTGAAATAATTCATTTCAATGGTTAAATAAGAACGTATTCAATCTAAATCTCATAATGTGTTACCATGAAAGGAATTGAAAGACAACGAAGGCATCAGAAAAAAAACACCTTCACACAATTTCGATAACAATGTTTGTTGTGAATGTTGCTTTTTTTCTTCATTT